GGGGCGGGGGGGGGGGGGGGGGGGGGGGGGGGGGTTGGGGGGCGGGCTTGAGCTCTTGACCCTGAGATCAAGACCTGAGTTGAAATCAAGGGTCTGTGTGGGGTTTAACCAACTGAGCCACCCAGGCTCTCCTTAACGCTTTTATTTTAAAAGTTAAAATTTGGGATGCACTTGAAAATCATTTTGATTTTAGGACGTAGGGGAATCTAGATTTATTTGTTTCTCCAAATGGTTAGTCTGATGTCCCTTTACCTTTTCTGAGTAACCTTTTCCTCCCTGGCCCTTGAGTAACTTTTTTTTCAACTGATTGGAAATGCTGATCTCTGAAAAATATTAGTCTGTTTAACCATTTCTTCTTTATTACCATACTATTTTGGTTCTCATAGCATTTCTAATAAGAAGGTTTGTGCTTTCAGATTTTTACATGAATAAATCCAGTTTGGTTAGAACTGAGAAGTAAAACAAATCCCCACATCCAATTTTTGTGAACAAATTAAATAAGAGTAAATGGTAACTGTGGACACTTTTTAAATCTCTTAACTTTTAGGAAGGGCTAACTATGCAGTAATGCCAATAAAAATTCTTTTAACAGCATGTCTCCTTAAAAACTAGTCCTCAGGGGCACGTGGTGACTCAGTGGTTAAGCGTCTGCTTTCAGCTCAGGTCTTGATCCCAGGGTCCTGGGATGGAGGCCAGCATCGAGTTCCCTGCTCAGCGCGAAGCCTGCTTCTTCCTCTCGCACTCCCCCTGCTGGTGATCCCTCTCTCGCTGTGTCTTTCTCTGTCAAATAAATAAATAAAATCTTAAAAAAAAAATTAGTCCTCAACCACAATTCTTCCTTTTAAAATTATAGAACTTGGGGGTGCTTGGGTGGCTCCAGTGGTTGAGCGTCTGCCTTTGGCTCAGGTCATCATCTGCAGGTCCTGGGAGCCATCCAGCCCCACATCAGGCTCCTGGCTGGCTCAGTAGGTAGCCTGCTGCTCCCTCTCCCTCTGCCTCCCCAGTGGTTGTTTGCTCTCTTTCTCTCTCTCAAATGAATAAATAAAAAATCTTAAAAAACAAAACAAAATATAGAACTTGGCTCCTATATGGAGCAATTAGGAGAATTTTATTATTATTATTTGTTTTGTATTTGGAAAGAGTATATCTCAAAGTACACAATATATTTTCTCCTAAAACAAGTTAATGCCATCCAGATACTGTTATATTTTCTTATAGACTTTTTCATTTCTGTCACTTCAAATTTAATTTCTCTGTCTCAAACTATTAAACAGGAATCTAAAAGCAAACATTTTAATTGGTTATTTAAAAACTATATTGAATTTTTAAAAAATTTTTTATATGAGGGAGGGACAGGAGGAGAGGGAAAGAAAGAAATGTAAGCAGGCTCCACGCTCCTCCATCTCTCACAACCCTGAGATCATATATGACCTAAGCTGAACTCAAGAGAGATGCTTAACTGACTGAGCCACCCTGGTGCCCCAAAACTATATTCAATTTAAAACAAAGAATAAATCAGTGCCTTCCCAAATTGAAAAAAAAAAAAAAAAAAAATCCATGGTCAAAACAATAGTCATTCCTAATTTGTCTGGTTTTGTTCTTGAATTTTTCTTTAAGGAGAGGTTCATGTTAAGCCAAAGGTTGTCTAGTTGAAATTTTTTTCAAGTGTTTTAAGCGTATTTTAATGAAATAAATAATAATAGTGGGTAATAACCTGAGTGATGATAGTTCCTGATTGGGTTTGCTCTGCAGAATGCATTAAGTTAGGAAAAAAAATGAAGATACATTCTGTGGACCAAGGAGCAGAGCATATGCTGATTCTATCCTCAGATGGAAAACCATTTGAGTACAACTATAGCATAGAACATGCAAGGTAAGGGAACTTTTTTCTTTTATTAAAAATTATTTAAAATTTATTCAAATGGCAATCAATTTTTGTAGAAAAATGTTACTTTATATGAACCTTGTCTCCTGCTTTTACATAGTGGCTCTTAAGTAAACAATTCTGAAATGATCAGTGAATTCCATCAGTGAGATACAACCAGATTATGTCCATAGACATCGTGTGTTGTTTTGACATTTAAAAGAAATGATTGTTGGTCTGCCTCACCCCAAATTGGACTTCCACATTCATTGATTCATTTACCCCTCATAATAATCCTATGAGTTAGATTATCAGACATAAAAGTTTTCAACGCAGGAGAAAAATACATTATCATGGAATGATTTGTGAGACTTTTTCCTAGTAGATCTTGTGACTTAGAACTTATTTTCCTTTTGTATTATTCCTGTATCATACAATTATTGTTTGCAAGAGAGACTTGGGATCATTCTAATTAATATTATATAGTGCACATTATTTACCTTTTAAACCGCCAACTAAAACACATGTATTTTTTATAATTTTAGATGTACTGAATGTGAAGTAATAAATTTAAATTTTTCCTTGTGCTTCAGTCCCAATGAAATACAATTAATAATTATAACATTGATGTTGTGACTTCCATTACAGTGATTGACATAAAATATATTTTCTTTCATTAGGTTTCAATGCATTTTACAAGAAAAAAGTATAATTCAGATCACATGTGGAGATTATCATTCTCTTGCACTTTCAAAAGGTACTTTCTGGACTATTGTTTTTTAGAGGGAATAAATGTGTGTATACGTAGAAAGAGTAGAATGTATATGCTTCACTTTGTAACAGACAAGAATAATGGTTTTGAATTTGATATAGTTCAGGGCACTTCTTTGTTTTTTGTTTTTTTGTTTTTTTAAAGTAAGCTCTAGGCCCAACATGGGGCTTGAACTCACAACCCTGAGATAGAGTCAATGAAGAGTCACATGCTCTACCAACTGAGCCAGCCAGGCACTTGTTAGAAAGTAAGAGAATTTTTGGATGTGTAAAATCTTCAGGTTTCCATATTTACTGTTCCTACATTATACTCTTCAAATGACAAAACTAAAACAATTTAGTAAAGAATTTGATACCCTTTGTTATTCAAGAACAACAGTTGATGGATTGGGAGTACAGTGTATCACAAACAATGGAGCACTCTCCTGGAAGGATTTCAAGCAAGAACGAGAATTTTTATAGAGCCTTAGAAGTCACAGTGCAATAATAGGGCATGATTGGTTGGGATTGCGTATGTAACCTTATTTGGAAAGATCAGGGAATGAAGAAATAAGTATACAGCCTGGAGTTGGCTTGGTGTTTGAGGATTGGCTTACTGGTTGGATATATGGTGTTTCTGGCCAAGCAGAACATTTAAAGGAATATGTAAGTCAATTTGCTGACATGGCACCCTGGGTAGGAATGGCTCCATCTTGACCCTGGAGATTTATTTCAACAGTTCCATGTTTTTATTTTTCAAATAGGAAACAATGAAAATATTTTGAATAATCAAAATCATTCTGGAAACAGCACCAGGCTTGGGCTTCCCTTTTCTAGAACCTTCTTACCTTTTCCAAGTGCTTCTTCATCTCCCATGACAGGAACTTAGAATCTCTTGGGTCTGCTCTTGTGGCCAGTTTGCAGGCCTCTGATGTGCTCCCACATTACCATTTGAATTCAGGGATTCTCCCAGCCTTTAATATTTCTTCTTATCAGACACCATAATGGTGGGAAGTTGAAACAGTGAATATAGATTACTTCCTAAAGAAACTTGACTATGAAGGAATGATTATAACAGGATGGTGATAGATAGGAATTCAGGGTCAAGGAAAAAAATTTTTTTAAATACATAGGACAGATAAAAACAAACTAAAGGGAAATTGGGATAAAAGGGAAGTAAATAATTCAGCTTTTGACCTGTGTTGAGGGCCCTGTTGAAGTTTGAGAGTATGAACTTGCATTGGAAAAAATTGGCCTGATTGTTTGACTTTATCCATTCATGAACACATTTTGTTTTGCGTATCTACTCTGTTCAGATTATAAAAATAAAATAGAATCCTAGGGTCTGATGATATTGGGGCAAAAGAGATAGTGAGTTTATTACTGATAAATCGTAATCTAGGAAGAATGAAAATTGGGGAAGCAAGAAAGAGAATTGATATTTCATCATTATATTCTTTTTTTTTTTTTTTAACATTTACTTATTTGACAGCGAGAGATCACAAGTAGGCAGAGAGTCAGGCAGAGAGAGGGGGGGAAGCAGGCTCCCTGCTGAGCAGAGAGCCTGTTGCCGGGCTCTGTCCCAGGACCCCGGGACCATGACCTGAGCTGAAGGCAGAGGC